CCCCCAAGAGGCCCCAAGAGGCCCCCTAGAGGCCCCCAAGAGGCCCCACGAGGAGCCCGAACGACTCACACCAGGACGAGGGGCCCGAACGACTCACACCACGAAGAGCCCGAACGACTCACACCAGAAAGAAGGGCCCGAACGACTCACACCAGGACGAGGCGCCCGAACGACTCACACCACGAGAAGCCCAAACGACTCCACCACGACGAAGGCCCCGAACGACTCACACCACGAGGAGCCCGAACGAGTCACACCAGGAGGAGGGGCCCGAACGACTCACACCACCAGGGGCCGAGGGGCCCGAACAACTCACACCACGAGAAGCCCGAACGACTCACACCAGGACGAAGAGCCCGAACGACTCACACCACGAAGAGCCCGAGCGACTCACACCAGAAAGAGGGGCCCGAACGACTCAGACCAGGACGAGAAACCCCAAACGACTCAAACCACGAGGAGCGCTTTCTCTCCCTCCTCCTTCGCCTCGTCCTTCTCCCGCTCCCCCCACAAGGAGGATGTAAAAGGAGGCGGGAGGAAGGAAGAACAGGGGAGATATGCGGGGCCAAGCGGACACACGCCTGAAAACCACGACTGTCGGCATGCTTCGCGAGAGTTGCTGCTGTGAGATGGGCTGGTGGGGATACGCGAAGCGTAAAGAATTCTATGATTATGTCTCGCCGCTCGTTTTCCAGACTCGCACCATCCCAGCCAGGCCAACTGGTATCTTCCCCCTTGGCCTTGATCAAACAATACCATGCGCGTACAGTCGTTTGTCGCACACTGTCCACACGAACGCGTAAATTTCGGAAAACAAATCAAATACACAAATTCTGCAGGCACTTCGACATCCAAACATCAAAGGCCATACGTTTTCCATCTTAAATCTGGCAGAGTTTCTGCCCGCGCGCAACTGCTGATAGCTCGGTGTAACTTTAGATGTTCTTCGTGGAGAACCCGCATTCTCATCATCACTCAACGAATTGGCCGCGTTGACCGAGCATGCGCCCAACGCACGTACCCGTAGAAAATAATACCATGCGGGCCACACGCGCCCGCAGCCACGCGCGCGTGTCGAAATCGTTTCAGGGAAATGGGTTTTCAAAATCCGCCGATCCTGTCGGCGTGTGTGAGGGGCTTCTCCGTTCGACTCGTCGTCTCCGTCGTCTCCGTTCTCCCTCTCTTAGGGCTCTCCTCCTCAAGCGCGCTATCCAAAGCGAAATTAAACGACGTCGTAGCGGAGTCGAAGGGAAGCCCCTTCCCTTTGATCCCTTCCCCGCAGGGGGGGGGGGGGGGGGGGGGGGGGGGGGGGGGAAAAAGAGGGGGGGGGGGGGTCCCGGGCAATAACGACGCCCGCCGGGGCGCACTTTCCTCGAGCGGCAGGCACGGATGCAACTTCCTCCTTCTCCTGGTCCTCCTCCTCTTCCTTTTCCTCCTCCTCCTCTCCTCCTGCTCCTCCTCTCCTTCTCCTTATCCTCCTCCTCCTCTTCCTCCGTCCTCCTCCTCCCGCAAGAGGCGTCCCGGATCGGCCCCCGAGTCAAATCACCGCGCCTAGGGCGCATTTTTCCTCGGCGGGCATCGCCAGCGGGCACGCCCGATATGCATTTCTTCCTCTTCCGGGAAGCACGATCCCAGTCCAAAATGTCACACTCCCGTGGGGCGCACTTTCTTCGAGCGGGCACACAAAGGGATCACACTTCCTCCTCCTCCTCCTCCTCCTCCTCCTGCTCCTGCTCCTCCTCCTCCTCCTCCTCCTCCTCCTCCTCCGCTTCCTCCCCCCCCTCCTAGCCCTTTCGGTCAGGGTCGGCGGCACCGGCCGTCAAGCCTCTCCAATATTTCAAGATACAGCCTTTGAGACAAATTTGAACACAACTATTGTATGTAAGCACGATGTGCCACCTTCCGTGCATTTCCACGTACGCGCACTTCCTCACCCTGGCCCTCCTCAGCGCCACTGCATCACCGTCATTATCGCAATCGCCAACATTCGAATTTGCCACCATCACCACTGAACCACTTTCGCCACCGACGCGTAAACATCATCATGGTCATCGTCGTCACTGGCGTCGGCGCCGTCATTGGCCTTGTAGTCGTCATCGCCATCTCGCTGCCACCATCGCTACTATCATCATCGCCGCCGTTACCGACGTCATGATCATACAATGCCCACCCGAGCCACGAGCCACCGACCCGCACTGAAGTAACCCGCGCGCCAGCGCGGCCTTAGCGACGCGCTGAGAAGATGCCGTCGATGAGGGCCATCGCGGCAGCATTAGTCGTGCCAAACCAGCTTGCCGCTCTGCGCGCAAGTGCGCACGCGCCAACGCGGCTGCAGAGATGCGCCGGGCAGTGCCCAGCAGTCACTGTCATCGATGCCGCATGGGTTTCGCAAAACAAGTTGCTGGTAGGAGGGTGTGGGTGTTTGCGCGAGCAGTGGAGCTGACAACTCATCATTGGCTTGGTTGATTGAAACGCAGATCTAACACCACATAGCTTACGCATGCACAGTGCAATGCCGTACACAGTGGTGTCGACACTGGCAACAATTGCATGAACAAGCTGATGCTGGTACGAAAGGCAGGAAGGAACCCCGTGGCGGCCACGGCCGGAGCTCAGCAACGAGCCCAAGTGTTTGGAGCCCCATGGCGGCCACGACCAGAACTCAGAAGCCCGCCCATGTGTGTAATCCCGCGTGTGTGTGTGTGTGCGTGTGGAACCCCTATGGGTGTGGTGAATTCCATGTGGGGACCCCATGTGCGTGTCTGCGTATGTCCGCGTGTGTGTGTGCGTGTGTGTGTGTGTGTGTGTGTGTGTGTGTGCGTGTGTGTGTGTGTGGTGCGTGTGTGCGTGTGTGCGTGTGTGCGTGTTGAGCGTCCTCCATGGTATTTTGTCATCTCCACCTGCGTCCCCTTCATCGAGTCGGTTGTCACTCGTTCACTCGCTGAGTGCGCGCTGGTCACGGCACCACTGTCGTGTCGCTTGTCGCCCGTCGTGTCGATTGTCGTGTCGGCTGTGTCGCCTACTTAGCCCTCCGTGCGGGTCCATCCCCTGGCTGGTTGTCGCTTAGTCATCCCATTCTTCCAGCGCCAGCGCGCGCATGGTCGCGGCACCATCAAAGTAAGTGCGCGCGCGTGTGCGTTTGTGTGTGTGCGTGCGTGCGTGTGTGTGTGTGTGTGTGTGTGTGTGTGTGTGTGTGTGTGTGTGTGTGTGCGTCTGTGCGTGCGTGCGTGCGTGCGTACTTGTGTGTGCGCGCGTGTGTGCTTGTGTGGTTGCATGTGCATGTGTGGAAGCCCATCTGTGTGAACACGGATGCGTGTAGAACCTCGTGCGTGCGGGACCTCGTGTGTCAGGACCCCCATGGCCCACGGAACCGACGGCCAGAACACCACACACGTGGAACCCAGCGTGTGGAACCCTCAGCGCATGAAGCCCCCCGTGGTGTGTGTGTGTGTGTGAATGTGTGTGTGTGCGCCTCCCGTCCGAGGGATTCTGAAAGCTCGGCCCAGGCCTCGGGGTGCGACGGGGAGAAGTTGTGTATAAGGAAAAGGAACGGAGGAGGAGGCGGAGGAGGAGAAGGAGGAGGAGGAGGCGGAGGAGGAGGAGGAGGCGGAGGAGGCGCGGAGGAGGAGAAGGAGGAGGAGGAGGCGGAGGAGGAGGAGGAGCAGAAGGAGGAGGAGGCGGAGGAGGCGGAGGAGAAGGAGGAGGCGGAGGACGCCGCCCGTCTCCGCGGGAAGCCCTCCCCCGCTCGGCCCGCTCCGCCCGGGCCGCGCCTCGGCAGGTAGACGTCGCCGATCTTGCCGCACTTGCGGAAGAGGTCCCAGACCTCGTCCTCCAGGGGGCGCGCAAGCATGGATCAGCGATCCGTGGAGCTGGCGCGCGGTCGCCAATTCCATAGCATCGGGGAGGTGCCCTCCCCAAAATGGGGCCGTTGCCGCCTCGCTCGGCGGCGAAAAAGTCCGCGATGTCCCATGGAAGCGGGGCCATTCGCTGATCCACGCCCCCCAAAATGCATGTTTGCGATCGCCGGAGTCCTTGCGGGTGTCGGGCCCGAAGCCGTCGACCTGCGCGGCGCCCCCTCCGCCGCTTCGCGCACCCCTCGTGCGAGGAGAAGGACGAGGAGGAGGAGGAAGAGGAGGAGGAGGAAGAGGAGGAGGAGGGGGAGGAGGAGGAGACGGAGGAGGAAGAGGAAAAGGAGGAGGAGGATGAGGAAAGGGAGGAGGAGGACGAGGAGGAGGAGGAAGAGGAGGAGGACGAGGAGGAGGAGAGGAGGAGGGAGGAGGAAGGAGAGGGAGGAGGGGACGAGGAGAGGAAGAGGAGGAGGAGGATGAGGAGGGAGGAGGATGCGGAGGAGGAGGAGGAGGAGGAGGAGGAGGAGAGAGGAGAGAGTGGAGGAGGAGAGAGGAGGAAGAGAGGAGGAGGAGGAGGAGAAGGAGGAGGAGGAAAAGGAGGAGGAGGAGGAGGAGGAGGAGGAGGAGGAAGTTGACGAATCCAGCGGCAGCCCACTCGCGCCAGTGGGCCTCGCGCCCTCGCTCCCCTCCCGCGGCGGGGCCGCGTGGGGGGGGCAGGAGGCACGCCGAGGGCAGGGACGTGTCCCCCCCTGGGCTCGAGCCAACTGGGCGATGCAAAAGATTGCAAAAAAATCCTTCGTCGAAGGATTGCAAAAGATTGCAAAAGATTGCAAAAGATTGCAAAATAATGCAAAATATTGAAAACAACTGGGCGATGCAAAATATTGCAAAATATTGCAAAAGATTGCAAAAAAAACCTTCGTCGAAGGATTGCAAAAAAAACGTTTTTTTTGCAATCCTTCGATAAAAAAAACAGACGTTTCCCCCCCGGGGCTCGAACCAACAGGGCGACGCAAAAGGAAACGGGTCTTACCGTCAACCCGTGCAGCAAGGAGGCGCGACGAGGACGCAGGGGCCTCTCCGGGCGCCCCTTCCGGAGCTCTCCTCGGGCGGGGCGCGGCCAGCGAGCGTGGCCAAGGATGGGCCGAGGAGGCGAGGATGCAAGGGTCCCCTTTTGGGAAGGCTGCCCACCCTTACCATGCGGGTTGCCTGTACGCGAAATGACGTAGGATCGGGAGCGGCCAAGAGGGGGGTGTCCAAGAGGGGGGGGGAACAATTCACGACCGGCGGCACGTGCGCGGCCCAGCGGGGGGGCCAGGGACGTAATGAAACAAGAGGAGGCGCCATGAGATCTGGGAAAATATCATGGCCCCCGCCATGATATCCAGCCCCCCCTAGTCATCCCCCCCCTCTTTTCCGCCCCCGATAGGGGGCCGTACACGGCGGCTTACGCAGGCCGCCAGCGCGGCGTACCACACATGAGTCGAGGGCGCCTACGCACGACCTGACGCGGGCAGCTTGCGCGCCAACGTCGGCAAAGGCAACACCTTGTTGTTTTCGCCGCCCAACAAGGGGGGGGAGGATACGTGGGGGGAAAAGAGAGGTGCCCTTTCGGGCCAGGAGGAGGAGGAGGAGGAGGAGGAGGAGGAGGAGGAGGAGAAGGAGGGAAGGAGATAGGAGAGGGAGAGAGAGGAGGAAATAGAGATGGTCCCTTTCGGCCCGCAGGCCACCTCTGGGGCACCAAGGTGCCCTTCCAGGGGCCCTGGTGGGCCCCTGTTCGGCAGCCCTCGCTGCCCCCCAAACCCCCCCCCAAATTGCCGCCCCCCCCCCCCCCCACCCTCAATTGCGCGCCCTTCCAAATTCCAGAGAAGGGCGCGCGCGCGCCGAACACATGCCAGAACGTCGGGGCTGGAAGCTGGCGTAGAGGCTGCGGTGCCCTCGCCAGAGTGGGCCAGATCACGGCATCGCCTGGTGCCTGCCTCGCTTCGTCCCCAGGATCCTCGCACCCCTCATCGGCAGCGGCATGATGGGTCCTCCCTGGAATGCCCCCTCTGCATTGCCATGGGGGTCGTCCCCAGAAGCCGTCCGCCTCCTAGGGATTCCTCCCGACCGCATGTGATCCGTGGGCTTGCCCAGAAGTCGACGCTGCATGCGTCGGACTGAACGCTGGGCTCATTCCAGACGTTTCCTGGAAATCAAGTCGCCCATGTTGTCCACTGAACGGGAGCTCTGAAGCAGGAGGGGGGGGTAGACCAGAGCGGAGAGCCATATCTGCAGACCTCCCCCAGGGCGAGCATCGTGGAGGCAAAAACACCCAGCGCGAGCAGCCAGTAATTAGGCCTCAAATCGGGAGACTTCTAAGAAGACCGCAGGAGTGCGGTGACTTCCCTGGAAAGCGCGCTGGATCTTTCCGAACGCATCTTGCCTCTGACGACATGCTAAGGCACATCGAACAACGTTTGTGAATGTACATCCACGCGCTCTGAGACACTCAACGCCATATGGCATGAACATCAATGAAAGAGGCAAGAGCCGTGAGGCGCATAATTCTATATAAACGCGATGTTAGCCAGCCCCACACAATGACTTATTGCGCTGCGAACGTGTAAGCTACGCGGAGCAAGCCTTGAGGTGCAAGCTATGTGGTGCAATCCGCCGACTCCTTGGGGTCACTCGGCGCTTGTGACGGCTGCCCCTTCCCAAACCCCTCCCAGGGGAGATGGGTCAGGCTGGTCTGGGAGGGGGGAAGGGGGAACAAAAGTGCCGACGGTGCCGGCGACCTCGGCCCTGCTCCCAAACTGGCCCAGACGGCTTCGACATGGCTTCCGCATCCTCCGAGTTGTCTCGCCATGCTCTTCGCGTGGCCCCAGATGGCCCTGCTATGGTCTCAGGACGGCTTTGGAAGTTTCGAAGCTGCCTTCGGAAAACTTCCGGACGACCCTGACGAAGGCCCCAACAAACAAACATTCCTCTAGCTTCTCTGGGAAACTGTTATCTTCAACATGTTCATGTGTTGCTGTTTTCAAGTGTCCAAAGACTCCGTCGTAGGGCTTCAGAATCGACCCAAGGCGGGCCATTAGGCCCCCAAGATGGCCCCGCAAATGCTCCAGACGGCTCCGGGGCGGCCCCAGAGGCGCCCAAGACAGCCCACGGGAACCCCGAGAGGGCCCCACGACAGCCTGAGATGGTCCGAAGACGGCCCACGAGGAGCCAAGACCGCTCAAGATGGCCCCACGACGGCCCCAAAGGCGTCTAAGACGGCCCAGGAAGGCCCTGAGAGGCCCACAAGAGGCCCAATCTAGCCCCCATGGAAGCTCCTGAACGGCCCCCAAACGGCTTCAAACTGCCGCTCAGAAGGGGCTGGACGAGAGGCGAAAGGCCCCTCGCAGTTCTTCACGCTCTCGGGGCCGTGGACGCCTATCTTCTGGGCAGCGTTGTCGTAGGAGCGACTGTTGACGATCGGAGATCGATGGGAGACCGCGAGAACGCGATGGACGTCACACTCAGTGGGGAGACGAACCAGAACAACCAGCTTATCGGGAGAGTCGGAGGGCGCATGGGAGGAGGCGCAACGAGAGATGGGAGAGGAGCGCACGTACCTTCCCTGTAGAGATGGGAGAGGAGGAGAATGAGGAGGATAAGAAAAAGGAGGAAGATAATGATAGCAACGCACTAACCGACGCCCGATGATCAAGTCGGATTTCGGCACCCACGGGCCCTAAGAAATCGGCGGTGTGGCGTAAGCCGGTGCACCTGTGCGGTGCGCGATGTGGTGTTCAGGCTACCTGATGCCAGACAGATGGTGTAAGCTAAGCAATGTTGTACGCGATACGCGGTGCAGCCTCAGCGGTGCCAGCTGGGGGGGCACAGCGCGAGTGTGGCAACACCTGTGCGGCGCTAGAGATGTGCGGTGCAGGCTATGTGACGTGCCGGTTGTGCGGTGTGGGCCGTGTGGGGCACGCTGTGTAAGTGACAGCTGTGCGGCGCAAGCCGTGTGGGTGTGAGGCCGTGCGACCTGCAGAGCGCAGCCCACGCGGCCGCACACAGCGCACGGGGCGACCGCCAGGCGTCAGGCGGCGGCCACCGCCAGGCACCCAGCGACACCTCGGCACGCCCCGCCCGCAGCACCAGGCAGCCCACGGGCGGCCACGGGCGGGCGCCCGGCTGAAACCTCGGCGCACGCGTCCAGCGCACGAGGCGCCCACGAGGCACCGACGGAGGCCCCACGGGCGGCCACGCGCGGGCAGCAGACCAACACCTCGGCACGCCCGCCCAGCACGAGGCGCCCGCGTGGCGCCCGCGGGGCGCTCAGCAGCGAGACGCCAGGCGAAGCCCTGGCATACCCATCCAGCCTCTCGGGGAGGCGGAGCAAGAGTCCCTACGTGCAAGCACGGCTTGGGGAATGAGTGCAATCGCCACGAGCTGGCGCACGTGACTCTGGACAGGAGTGCGTGGACCGGAAAAGCTGAGAATCATGCGCCGCTGTGTTCGGGGTAGCGTCGCGGTGCGTCGTTGCCACCCCCTCCAGCACACACGATGCCTCCCCCATCCCGCCCCCGCACCAGCAACTTGTTCCTCTCCCTGTACTCCTTCCCCTGGCCCTGATCGCCCGCTCGGCCCTCCCCTCTTGGCTTGGGTCGCCCCTTTCCCCTGTCTGCATGCTTCCACCCTCCTTCCCTTCCCCGCCCCCCGTCTCCCACGCGGCACCCAAGCCCCGTCCGCCAACGACCTTCCCAAGCCCTTCCCTCGATCCACCCCGCGCGGGCCGCCCACCCCAGGTCCCCGCCTTCAAACTGACGAGTCCCGATATGTCTGGCAGCGGCACCCGCGACCTGCACGGCTGTGTGGGTCGACGGGCAAAGGAACGCAATTGCCTGGCCGTGCCCTGCCTGTCCCAAGGGCAAGGAGCTCAGGGCAACGACACAGCATGCCTGGCATGTGTCAACACAATCAGCACTAACACCCGCAAGTATTGTACCTCATGGCAGAGACGGAACATTCTCACACGTGGCGCAACTCTGCGAACTGCTGATCGGCGAAATCAATTCGGTTGTGGCTATCGTCATCCACGGCTATCGGCCATTCCCCTTCCTTCAAGCTGTCCTGAGCATCCCTGATGAGCATACCCTGACCCACGTACTTGGGTGATGGGCCAAGTCAACTTATCGACAGAAAGGGGCCCGTCTCAAATTTTGCAGTTTGCCAAGTCTTCACGGCTGGCAGCATGGAGTGATGGTCAAATATGGCTAGACGCCAAATCAATCAAACTAAAACCCCAACTGTTTCAGTATACAAGCCGTGGCCACCAAACATGGCAGTAAATACATAAGACTCGCCTGTAATGGCTTGACGGACAACATCATCATACCGTTGAGCTGTCCTGAGACTGGCGTTCATACTTTGGACACTTATTCAACGGTCGCAACCAGTGCGAAGCTGTTGACGGCGCACTGTGGTTGCTGACTGTGCCGCTGGGACTTATATTTTAGTTCGGCCAATCCACATCTGCCTGCTTGCCAGACGCCTGCGGGAGATGAGCGATTGGGAGCTTTGTGCGAGCTCGGCGGTGTTCTTCTCTGCCATCCTGCTACTGCTGCTCCATGCCTCTCCTCTCCCTTCGGATGCACGGATGCACGGCTGAGTCCCAAGTCCACTCTGGGAGCCGAGAAGGACAAACAGAGGCAGCGTGCCCAGGAGGGTTTCGGCGGCGCCCAGAGGAGGGAGGACAGGAGGGAACACGAAGAGCAGGCGCCGCCGAAGCCCTAATTAGGCCCAGCCCCTCCTCCTCCTCCTCCTCCTCTGCGGGCGGAGGGGAGGGACATCTCGCACCAGCCCAGCAGCACCGAGCGCTCGGCCAGGAGGCGCCCGCCGGTGCCGCCCCCCCTGCCGCACCCGAAGGCACTGCCGCCGAGGGGGGGGGGGGGGCACTTCGGCTCCCTGGCAGGAGAGCTCTCGAGCCGAGGAGCGCACGCGGACCTGTACCCACACCCTCCCTTCCTCCTCGCCCTCCCTCCTCCTCCTCGCACTCCCTCCTCTTCCCCCCTCCTCCTCGCACTCCCTCCTCTCCCTCCCTCCCCTTGTCGCCCTCCCTCCCTCCTCGCCCTCCCTCCTTCTCTTCCTCCCTCTCCTTGTCCCCTCTTTCCCTCTCCTCCCTCCCGGGGGGGGGGGGGGGGGGGCGGGGACGAGCAGTGCCACAGAAGCACCATAAACTCGGAGAGGTCCCGGGCGGACCCCGGAGGCGATCACTGCTGCGCGCAAAAGCGCGCAGGTGACGGTCGGGGGCTTCTGCTCAGCTCGCCGCGGCGGCGGCCCCAGCGGCACGCTGCTCCCCCTGCAGGCGGACAGCGCGTCGCCCCGCTCCGCGGCGCGGGAGGCTCGGGCGGGCTCGGGGGGAGGACGCTCGGGGAGCGCGTCGCGCCGAAAAGCGTCGCGGGCCAGAGCCGGCGAAGCGACGCGCTATCAAGAAGCCATCGGACGTATGGCCTGCCTGCTGCTGTTTCTCCTCCTCCTCCTCCTCCTTCTTCCTCCTCCTCCTCCTCCTCCTTCTTCCTCATTCCTCCTCCTCCTTCTTCCTCCTTTTTCTCCTCCTCCCTCCTCCTTCTTCCTCCTCCTCCTTCTCCCTCTGGCGGGGGCGTGCGGGGCCGACGACGGCGGCAAATGGCGACGACCACTGCAACCACATGTTGAAACGCGGTGCTTCAAGGGAGCTGCAGACATCGCACTGCCACAATGAACACATCTGAGAGAACGGAGGGCTTTTCTGGCCACGGCGAGCCTTTGTCACGAATCGATTCCCCGACCTAGATCAAAGAAACGGCCCGAAAACTGGAGCCCCTCCTGCCTCGAAAATGGTCCTTATTTTGGCGTCTGGACTGTACATTCTGAACTCTTCGCTCCCTGCTTCTCACCCAACTCGTCTGGGCTCCCCCCCCTTCGAGGGATCTGCTTCGTTACCATCTCTGTGTCGAAGCTCCTCTCTGACGTGCCACCCCTATTTGGGGATCGCAGTCTGTAGCCTTACAGTCATCGCCCTACCATAATGCTCGCTGAAAAAAGGAACAAAATCAGCGTCCTGGCTGTGGCTGGTCGCATCGGCTGGAAAGACTTTACCCGGTACTGCACTCGGCTCTGTAGCCCAAAGAAGCGGACTGCCCCTCCTAATTGTTGCCTGCGCCGGGGGAGGAGGGGGGGGCGAGCGCAAGAAGGGCAACCCTTGCGCGTCCACTTGGAAAAACGGCGCTGGCGGCCAACCGCCTTACCCAGCATTCCACAAGGTTTGGTGACCTCAAGGGGGAGGACATCTGGCAAAACGGGGCACCTGCCGAACTGGAGTCGGCAACATCAATTGTTCATTGCGCAATTGATTCCGTCGACGACGACGGCGACGTCAGCGGGGGTGCGCGGGGTCCTCCTGGGCTGAGGATCGTCCGCCTGGGACGGGCGCCGAGGGGATTGCGGCCGAAAGGAAGAGGCACCGACGGCAAGGCAAGACAGGAAGGCACGGCGCGGCCGCGCGGTTGAGGTATCTAGGCCGATGCTGGGGCAGCAACTGCTGAGGAGGGGAGGAGGCGGGACAGAGGGGGGAGAGGAGGCGGAGGAGGGCTTGGAATTGCCAAGTCTTCCAACGGGTCAGAGCGGTCAGGACATACACATCTGCTCCAATGCAGCAGGGGCGCAGCAAGATATGCAGAGGCAGCGATGGCGCTGCGAGAGCACTCTGCAACAGAAGTGGCATGGGCAATGGCGTGGCCTGTAAGGAGCTGCAGGTGGCACAACGGGGATGCACAGAACTTACAGCTGTGAATCCAATCCTGTTCGGGAATCGTTTGAAGCCGTAGCATACGGGGGTCCCAATCGCCACCGCCAGAGGAGAGCTGGCCGCTGTGCCAAAGGCATGATTGTTATTGCCTCTAAATGTATGGAGCTCTGCTGCTCCGTGCCGTTCACCGTGTCGCGTCGTGCAAGTGCTGGCTGTTTGTCGGTTGGTAGCTGGGGAGGTTCTTGGTCTGAAATCTTCTTGCTGGAGACGCCCGACGTGGCAGCGTGGGTGATATCTGAAGTGTCTATGGAGGTCCAATTGGGGTAGTCGCCGAATGTATTGACACTGATGCTGTGGTGGTCGTGGAAGGACGGTGACATGTCTTACTGGAATGCGAGCGAGTGGTCGGCGAATGAGGACCATTATCTTCGCCCCCGTAGGCGACATGTGCCATGGGCGTCTTCGGATGCTGGTGTTTGCGTGTGGCCTTGGCGGGAGGTGGATTGATATCGTTGCACTTTGGCGAGTGTTGGGGAGGGCGGCATCGCCTTTCGTGCGCTAGCTTCCGCTCGTGCAGGCAGCGGCGGGTGGAGCCGCACTTCTTCCCCTCCTCTCGGCAGAGGCGGCTGAGGGCCCTCTGGAAACTCTGGGGCCTGCGGGTCGTGGTGGGGTCGATGGTCGATCCCCCCAGCTGGCCATCGCTCGGACGTCCATTCCCTGTGCTTTTTTCGGTTTCGTGCGTGGTTTTTCGCGCAGGATGATCCAGGATGCTCCTTAATAGTCCCCGCCGAGAAAAAGTGCACACGTCCGAGCGAGACCAAGCCAAGTGCAACTCGGACAGTGTGGAGCTTGCTGGTCTGGGTGATCGGAGGTGAGGTTACGTGGCTGTGTGGGCTGGAGAGGCTGATTGGACGTAGGCAAGCTCAGTGTCCAGAATGCAGGAAGTGACATCTTTCTGGACCTGGGCCTAGCGAGGCGACAGGAGCGGTGGTAGAATCCCACCAGCCCTCTGGGCGTAGGTGGTCTAGAACAGATCCTCTTCCACCCCTCCCTCTTCCCCCTTGGGGAGGGGTTTACCCCTCCCCCTACCCCCTCCCCTGGACCTGGACGGGGGGGGCCGCGGGTAGTTAGAGCGTCCAAGATGGCCCAAGACGGCTCCAAGAGCGCCTCAGAGAACCCAAGATGAGCTCCAAGATGGCTCAAGATAGCGCAAGATCGCTCACGATGGCTCCTAAGATGGTTCCAAGAAGCCCAAAGACGGCCCCAAGATAACTCCAAGTGGCCAAACAGCTCCCCAAGGAGGCCCCGAAGAGGCCAAAATCGTCCCAAAACCTAAGGAAAATCAATGATTTTTGCTTTCTCGCCTTTTCGCTTCCGATGGCCATCCGAGGCCTGGAGATGGCTCCAAGATGGCCCAAGAGGGCCCCAAGAGAGCCCCAAAAGAGCCCCAAGACGGCCCCAAGAGCGCCCAAGAGCACTCCAAGAGCGTTCCAAGAGGGGTCCAAGAGGCGATTTTAGGGGCTTCCGAGGGGGGGCGCTAATTAAACCCCCCCTCTTGTTTGATCGACTCCCTCCAAGATGGCCCCAAAAGCGCCCCGAAGGCTCCCCAGAGCGCCTCAAGAGGGTCCCAAGAGGCGCCCAAGATGCCCCCAAGGCGCCCAAAAAGCCCTCCAAGAGGCCCTCAAAAGACCCCCAAGAAGCTCCTTTCCCTCCTCCTCCTCCTCCTCCGATTCTTCCTCCTTCTCCGTCCTCCTCCTCCTCCTCCTCCTCTTCCTCTTCCCCCTCCTCCTCCTCCTCCTCCTCCGACGACGACGACGACGACGACGACTCCTCTTCCATCCTCCCCCTCTCGGGGTCTGTGACAGCTTCCCCCGCCCTTTGTTATTCTGCATGCTCCCCGACTTCCCTGATCACCTTAACTCCCCTGAGCATCGTTTCTGGATGGGCTGGTGGGGATACGCGAAGCGTCAACAATTTTCACGTCTGGTTGATGTGGCTGCTCGCGCTGGGCAGTCCTTGATGCGTCCCTTGAAGGTGGAGCGGAGGAAACGATGCTCAAAGGACGTCCCACAATCCCACTGGGAGTGGGCGGCACGGTGATGCAGCGTGATTCGTCTGGCCGGCGTGGGATGCGCCTGCCGGCAGTGAAGAAAGCATGGCCGGAAGCAGCAGCTGAGCATGCTCGAGTAGCTCGCGGGCTTACCCTTGCGCTGTCGGACGCCTCGGCCACCGGTCATGAGGCACACGAGGGTGAGGAGATGTGATGAGGTGGGGAGGACTGGAGAGGAGAAGGGAACAGCGTAGGAGGAACAGGAGGACCGAAGCCAATCAAACACACGCTGAACCAAACACATCGAACACTGGGCTATGCTGAAGCAGCGTGTTGTAAGACAAGCTTGCAACTTGCGAGGCTTCTCGCAGCGAGTCTACGAGCAAGTGGTGTAATGCACGATGGCGTACTAGTCCTGCTTGGGCTGATCCCTCCTTGGGTCTGTCTGGTGTCCCCTCCGTTTTGTTTCGCTCGTGCTCCTCTGCTTCCCCTCTGAATGCAAACCGCCTGGGAGACTTGTATAGATGGGCGAGATTGGGCACGCAAAGCGTAAATCATTTCTAATCGTGTCGCGGCTTTGGGAGGCGATCGACGAAACATCTAGAACTCCTCGACTTCCATGGACAACTGCGAATAGCAGCCTCAGCATGCCCGTCAGTGGATGATCAGGTGCTCCGATCTTCTGGTCTCCTCGGGAGCTCTGAGCAGATAGGGGGTCTGAGAAGATAGGATGGTCACATCGGTCTCCTCGGGATTCTCTGGTCTCCTCGGGAATCTCCTCGGGTGCTCTGAGAAGATAGGAAGAGGGGATCCTCTGGTCTCCTCGGGAGCTCCTCGGGGGCTCTGATAAGATAGGATGGTCACATCGTTTGGGCTCTTGCAGCATGAAGCGGGCAGTTGCAGTGGTGCGCAGGAGTGTGCGAGAGCCCGCAGGCCAGTGTAGAGAACACCTCTGCGAACGAACCCTCCGGAGCGAGGAGCAAAGGTAAAAGGCAAGGGGAGTTGTGCGGAAGAGACAGCAACATGAAAAGATGGGGATTGTCTTTTGGTGTCCATGCTGCGCGCCAGCTCACAAGTGCTTCAGCGGACAGAGCGAAGGCCAGCAATGTCCACACCGGCCCTGCCCATCGACCATCGCACGGAGCGCGCGGATCTGATGCGACCGCATACCGTTGACATCCTTGACCCAAACAGTCCGGCAGATGGGCGCGGCTAACGTAATCTCCTTAGGGTCGTCGTCCACAAGCACGACGTGTGCCTTCCTGAGCCCGAAGCGCTCCATAAGTTCCTGGACTAAGACGCCCTTGAAATCCTTGTGCAACGCGCACTTCGGCCCCAAGAACCTGTAACGGAACCCAAACGCTTGTGGGACACAATTCAAGCTTCAACCAATGAGGCAGAGGAGCTTGCATCCGCCCGCACGCGTTTGGTTTTCACGCCACGTTGGTGTTTGCATGCGAACATGTTGAAGAACACGCTGAGCACAGAACTGCCCCCGACATAAATGCGCATGCCAACTTCCGTATGCGCTGAGAAACATGTACGCAATCCCTGTGTATCTCTCTCGATTCCAAGTGCACACGCGGGCGTGCGTGCATGTGCTCCTCCTTACAGGCACTACCACAAGCCAACACGTTAATGAGCCTGTTGCGAATCCCGCTTAATGGCGACACTGGTAACCACATACCACATATGGCACTCGTAAACACTATTCGACGGACACGCGCAGGTAAAACGTTGCCTGCTTGCGGCGAAACGCGCTGTTTGGACAATTTCGAACGACTGTTGGCGTACGCGGCTTCACCACCAAAACAGCAGTCTAAGATTCAAGGCGCATGCGTGCGGGAAATTCGCCGGCCCAACGGGCCAGAGGCGTGCTAAGATCTCCGGTAACTGGTTAACAATTATTCTAGTTCGCGCGCGCGGGGCGGCCCCTGGGGGTCCCCCGGCGAAAAGTACCCCGACCGAAGCCCGGGACTATTACTCAGAGATGGTTTTCCTCCTGGGTGCGGTCTTCCACGCCCCCCAGAGCGCGCCAAGAGGGCCAAAAGAGGCCCCCAAGACGGTCCCAGGGGGCTCCGAATCACCGAACGATCGGCCCAAGACGCCCAACACGGCGTCAAGACGGCCCAAGAGGCCTCCAAGACGTCCCAAGAGAGCCCCGACCCTTCCCAAGAAAGCCCCAAGAGGCAAAAATCAATGATTTTCCTTTGGTTTTTGAAGGTTTTTGGCTTCTCGCCTTTTCGCCTTCCCGACGCTCCAAGACGGCCCAAGAGGCCCCCAAGACCACTCCAAGACGGCCCAAGAGGCCCCCAAGAGAGCCCCAAGACCGCCCAAGAGGGCCCCAAGACAGCCTAGAAGGCGCCCAGGACGACCCCAAGAGGGCCCCAAGAGGGGCCCAAGATGGAGACCACGAACCGAAAATCCGAGCCTTCCGCTCCCAGAGGCCTCCAGGACGCCCCAAGAGGCCCCCAAGAGGCCCCAAGAGGCGCCAAGAGGCCCGAAAGAGACTCCAAAACGCGCCAAAACGGAGCCCCAAAAGGAAAAAAGAAAAAAAAAAACAAAAAAAAATAAAAAAAAACAAACCAAAACAAAAAAAAAAAAAAAAAAAAAAAAAAAAAAAAAAACACATTAAAACAAAACAAAACAAAAAAAAAAAGAACAAAAAAAAAATAAAAAAAAAAAAAAAAAAAAAAAAAACACAAAAAAAAAAAAAAAAAAAAAAAAAAAAAACACAAAAAACAAAAAAAAAAAGAAAAACAAAAAAAAAAAAAAAAAAAAAAAAAACAAAAAAAAAAAAAACACAAAAAAAAAACCAAAAAACAAAAAATACAAAAAAAAAAAAAAAAAAAAAAAAAAAAAAAAAAAAAAAAAAAACAAAAAACAAAAAAAAAACAATAAAAAAAAACCATAACCATAAATAAAAAAAAACCTTGTGGCTAAAAACAAAAAAAAAAAAAAAAAAAACAAAAAAACAAAAAAAAGAAAAAAAAAAAAAAAAAACACTTCACAGTGATTTTCATTAGGTTTCTGATGGTTTTCCCCCACATGCTTCGTGGGGTTCTGGTTGTTCCCCACATGCTTCGTGGGGTTCTGGTGTTCTTCCCTGCCGCGCCGCACCCGCGACACTCACACACCCACACCTCCCTCTCCGTCTCTCTCTTTCTCTCTCCTTCTCTCACACACACCTCACTCTTCCCCTCCTCCTCACAGCACTGCTCAGCACAGCACAGCTCAGCTCAGCTCAGCTCAGCTCAGCACGGCACAGCTGAGCACAGCTCAGCTCAGCTCAGCTCAACTCAGCACAGCACAGCACAGCACGGCACAGCACAGCTCACCGCACAGCAGCACAACACAGCACAGCATAGCACACAGGGCATTCCTTCGACACCACAGGGGGTGCGCTGGGGGTGGGGGCCCTATGCGCTGTGGGCTCTCAGGGCGTGGCATTTCCTCGACGCCACAGGGGGGTGCGCTGGGGGTGGGGGCCCTATGCGCTGTAGGCTCTCAGGACGTGGCAGGCGTGGCATTTCCTCGACGCCACAAGGGTTCGCTGGGGGTGGGGGCCCTATGCGTTGTAGGCGCCCAGGGCGTGGCAGGCGTGGCATTTCCTCGACGCCACAGGGGGTGCGCTGGCGGTGGGGGCCCGTAGTGCGTTGTAGGCTCCAGGGGCGTGGAAGCGTGGACATTTTCCTAGACGCCACAGGGCGCGGTGCGCTGGGGGTGGGGGCCCTATGCGTTGTAGGCTCCCAAGGCGTAGTCGGCAGAGTGGGCAATTTTCACTCGACCGCCACAGGGGTTGCGCTGAGGAGGTGGGGGCCCTATGCGTTTGTGGCTCCCAGGGCGTGGCAGGCGTGTGGCATTTCCTGGACGCCACAGGCGGTGCGCTTGGGGTGGGGGCCTTATGCGCTGTAGGCTCCCGGGGCGTAGCAGGCGTGGCATGTCCTCGACGCCACATGGGGGTGCGTTGGGGGTGGGGGCCCTATGCGTTGTAGGCTCCCAGGGCGTGGCAGGCGTGGCATTTCCTCGACGCCACAGGGGGTGCGCTGGAGGTGGGGGCCCTATGCGTTGTAGGCTCCCAGGGCGTGGCAGGCGTGGCATTTCCTCGACGCCACAGGGGGTGCGCTGGGGGTGGGGGCCCTGCGCGTTGTAGGCTCCCAGGGCGTGGCAGGCGTGGCATTTCCCGGACGCCACAGGGGGCGCTGGAGGGGGGTGCCCTATGCGTTGTAGGCTCCCAGGGCGTGGCAGGCGTGGCATTTCCTCGACGCCGCAGGGAGTGCGCTAGGGGTGGGGGCCTTATGCGCTGTGGGCTCCCAGGGCGTGGCAGGCGTGGCATTTCCTCGACGCCACCAGGGGGTGCGCTGGGAGGTGGGGGCCCTATGCGCCGTGGGCTCCCGGGACGTGGCAGGCGTGGCATTTCCCTCGAGGCCACAGGGGGTGCGCTAGGGGTGAGGGCCCTATTCGCTGTGCGCTCCCAGGGCGTGGCAGGCGTGGCATTTCCCCGACGCCACAGGGGGTGCGCTGGGGGTGGGGGGCCTATGCGCTGTAGGCTCCCAGGGCGTGGCAGGCGTGGCATTTCCTCGACGCCACAGGGGGTGCGCTGGGAGGGGGGGGGGGCCCTATGCGCTGTAGGCACCCAGGGCGTGGCAGGCGTGGCATTTCCTCGACGCCACAGGGGGTGCGCTGGGGGTGGGGGCTCCATGCGTTGTGGGCTCCCAAGGCGTGGCAGGCGTGGCATTTCCTCGACGCCACAGGGGGTGCGCTGGGGGTGGGGGCCATATGCGCCGTGGGCCCCAAGGCGTGGCAGGCGTTGCATTTCCTCGGCGCCACAGGGGGTGCGCTGGGAGGTAGGAGGAGGAGGGGGATGTAGAGGATGAGGAGGAGGTGGATGATGATGATGACACGCCCGCGGACGCGGGTCGCCCCCTCGGGGGCCGCCGCGCACGAGCGCCCGCGGCCGCGGGCACTCAGCGCGGCGCTCAGCGCCTGCGACTCGTCGGGCGCTGCCTAAGCCGCTGCGGCCTAACCCCTCGCCGCGCAGGGGGTTATGCGGCCGGGGCGGCTCTCCCCAGCCGCCTCCGCGCCGCCCCTGGGAGGCACCTCCAGGGCCACAGGCGCCGTGCGGGAGGTACTCCGCGTAGTACCCCTCGTATGAGCGTCAGCTGCACCCTGCGTCTCGACCGGTGCTGCCCAAATCAGCTGCGGCCTAACCCCTCGCCGCGCAGGGGATAGGCGGCTAGGGCAGGTCGCCCCAGCCGCCTCCGCGCCGCCCCTGGGTGACACATCCAGGGCCACTGGCGCTGCATTGGGAGTGCTCCGCGTAGTGCCCCGCGTCGCGACGCCAGCATCCCCCTGTGACTCGTGGGGCGCTGCCATGCGCCACCGCGGCCTAACCCCTCGCCGCGCAGGGGACATGCGGCGCGGGCAGGTCGCCCCAGCCGTCTCCGCGCCGCCCCTGGGGGACACATGCTCGCGATGATGGCAAGCTTCTCGTTGATGCTGGCCCCTAGTGCCCGTGCAACCTTGAAGAAGTCTTTTGTAGCTTCCACCGCCTGGTCAATCACCCTCTGCTTGCAACTGCTGTTGACGCCAAGCGCTGTGTCATCAATGTAGGAAGCGAACCGCACTAGCGGATGCAAAGTCGTGTACATGTCGTACTGTTCGACGGCGTGAGCCTTTATCACCACGTCTGCATACGCATCTCCAGCTGGAAGCCCTGCGTTCGCATGCCTTGGTGCTCCTCCGTGGTGGAGTCGCAGTCGTATGATCCTTGGCCCCTTCCATTGATTGTAAACCACCTTGATCATTGGGACTGGCATGCCTAGGCGCATCAATTTGTCACGCGCCTGGTCCAATCCGATCGTCTCGTAATACTTGCTGTAGTCTGCGACAATCGTGACCACGAACCTGTTCTGACATACATTCTGCTCGTTGTCCGCTGCAAGGATCCACGCACTGTCAACTGCGCTTCTCCCCGATGCCGCTCCCCAGTAGGTGCGGTCCAATCTCTGCTGGATCATGTCGAGTCCAGGTCTTCCCATCTTTTGCCATACTCTGTAAGCCGCCGAGTACAGAATGATCAACCTATGTCCTCCAGCAGCTTTGGGCAACATCGGCATCACCATCCACGTCAGTTGGATGGGAAAAACTCCGATCGCCTCCACCGCCTGGAAGATGTCGCAAAGGCCCTCCAACGACTCGTCGCTCAGGTGTTGAAAGTGCGACGGGTGGATGCCGTCCAGGCTGCTCGAGGTCTTCGTGGTGAACGCCTTCGACGCTGCTCTGATCATGCCTGGCCTAGGTCTATCCATGGTGCTGCGATCAGGTACCCAGACGTGCGGTG